CCCATTACTGGGTCGTGCGGAAGACTACATAATAGGCTTGATTCTTGTTAAGGTATCTCTAAAGCACCAGCATAAAGTCTTTAATATTCACTTCGCTATACCCCCTTCGATCCGGATGGTTGAGCTGATGACATATGGTAGGACCGATCCCGAGATTTTCCCTTGGAAACTGTCTGGGAGGGGGGGGGGGGGGGGGATGCGGCATGTTACCAGTGATAGCTCGCCGCGACTCCACCGGGGTATGTACAATTCATCTAAAACCAAATATAGACCTCTGTACCAGTATAGCAAACTGACCTAATCCCCGCATAGATTCATCTTTAACCACATCTGGGCATCAGTCAAGCGTGAAATTATGCAAATCCTCTCCGAAGGCGTCAGCGACCCCGGTGAAATCGACCTACTCTGGGAAAACTCATTCAGGAATAGCCCTCTCCCCTACCAACTGATGGACCAAGTCGGCCTCGACACCGTCGCCTTCATCGAAGAAAACTACATCCAGGAGATGGGTCTTCCCTCCGCCCCAACTGTCGACTGGCTACGCAAGGAATAAATCCGACAAAAGCGCCTCGGCAAGAAGAGTAAAAAAGGGCGGCCTCTACCCCCCGCTCGCGAAATCCTCTTCCGCAGAAGTAACACCAGCAAAATCTCCACAGCGCCGCAAAAGACATCTACCTGCTGGACGTCAGGCTCGGCGGAAACGCAAAGGATGTCTCGTAGGTCCACTTGAACGGAATATTCTTGCGTCTCAACCTCGCAACACAGAAACTCACCCCTGTTGTCGTCGGCCAAAACCTACCCGACGGTATCGACGTGTCACTGGGCACGCAGCGCATCTTCTGGGCGAATATGGGTCGCAGCACGGCGGCCTGCGATGGCTCTGTCTGGTCCGCTGATTTGGACGGCGGCGATATGACGTGTCTTATTCCCGTTGGGTAGGTGCGCACGCCCAAGCAACTCGCAGATATCGAGCCACGGAAAAATAAAATTTTCTGTGACCGCGAGGGAACAAGCGTGCATCACTGTGACTATGATGGTAGTAACCAAATCATTTTTGGTGCAGCGGCCGTGTGGAACCCGGTACCGATCTGCTAGAGCAGATGAAGCTCTAGTGTGTGGGTGTTCCTGTCGATGCTGAGCGCGGTCTCCTGTACTGGACACAGAAAGGGCCTTGCAAGGCTGGCCGTGGTCAGATTTTTTGTGCTGGGTTAGATATCCCTGCCGGGAAGACTGCGGAGAATCGGACTGATATTCGGCGTCTATGGAATAACCTTCCCGAGCCTATTAATCTTGAGTTGGATTGCGAGAGTCAGACTCTGTACTGGACGGATCGTGGTGAGCACCCTTTCGGATACCCGCTGAACCGCGTGTATGTTGGCGGTGAAGAGATGGATAGGGACGAGCTTATTCTGGCGCGTCACTTCCACGAACCTGATGGCTAAAAGCTGGATTAGGCGAACAACATTGTGGATGTGTCTGATGTGGGTGGCAACTTGTACTCGGTTTCATTGGAAGATGGACTTAGGACTGAGCTTGTGTGCAATGATGTTTGCCACACTGTTTTGACTCTTGTTTAGAGAAATCAATGTGTAGATTATGCAAAAAGACAGATTTCAATGCCCCTTTCTCAGTTGGGTAGAGATACCTCCACGGAACATGGGGGTTGAAACTCAGCCAAAGTAAGAAAAACATGCATATGGAGTACTCTTAATGTTGTCAAACGTTGCATTTGAAATTTATTATCTGCACATATGATTAAAGGATTCTCGTAGCTTCAAAAAAGCTGTGGTTGGTGATAATAGATCCCTGGTCCCCTTAGCCCTAATTGGTTCCGTTGTGATAGCCTTACTAGCCAAGCAAGCTGACAGACGCGATATTTGCACAAAACAACTGAAATAGACTGGATCAATCCAACCTGTGGTGTAAAGACAATGTGACCCTTTCTGCCTTTCCCCTCGATCCATTCCTGCACAAGTCAGGGACTGCCGATCCCTCATTGATCGTGTCTTTCACATTCCTCCCTCATCTACATCTACTACATCTACTCCGTGCAACTTACATTTAACCATCTATCATCAGATTTTACAGGTTTTAAGAACGTATCAAACACTCCGAAATGCATATCCAGACCCTTCTACCCATCCTGTCCACCTTAGGAACCACCTCAGCAGCCATTGCCTCTAAACCAGCCCACCTCTGGGCATCCCACTACAATGGCAACGTCTACAGCCTGGCCCTGAAGAACAACACTCTCTCCCTATCGCAGACCCTCAACACCTGCGGCAACATGCCAAGCTGGCTCACACTGGATGCGCACACCCGCACTGTCTACTGCTCTGACGAAACTGGTACTGCCGACGCGTCGATGCAAGGCTCGCTGACGGCCCTGCATGTCAGACCCGACGGTACATTGCGCGAAGGCGCTGTCACCAAGACTGTCGGCGGCGGCGTGAATAGTGTTATCTACGAGTCAGATGCCGGGACGAAGTTTATTGCCATTGCGCATTAGTACGTTGTTTGTTTTTTCATTTCGTACAATGTTTAGGTTTTGCCTTGCGTTGGTTAGGTCATGATGAATGTGGGCCTGCGCTAACAGTCGAATAGCGAGGGCTCGGCCATATCAACCTTCGCCCTACCCATCAAACAAAATCAACCAGCCCTGCAAGCCTTCCATTTCAACTTGACCAGACCGGGCAAAGTTGCCCAGCAGGACTCACCCCACCCGCATGAAGTCTTCCTCGACCCGACCGGCTCGTTTATCGTCAGTCCGGACCTGGGCGCGGACTTGCTGCGCGTGTACGCGATCGAGGACGGCCCTTCGGGAAAGCTCTCGGAGTGTCCAAGCCTGAATATTACCTTCGGTAGTGGGCCGCGACACGGTGTGTTCTGGACTGATGGCACTGACCGGTCGGCCGGAGCTGGATCGACAAATTCGCGGAAGATGGCGGCTGTTGGCGAGACAATGTTGTATCTTGCGAACGAGATCGGCGGTACGATGATGGTATTTGACGTTTGGTATTCGAGATCTGGGTGTTTGTCTTTTGAGCAGACGCAGACACTGGTGCCGTATCCCGGAGGTGTCATGCCCGAGGGTGGGACGCCGGCTGAGATTAGCAGGATCGGGGATGAGTTTTCTCTTTCGATTCGCACTGATCAGGGGTTCAAGCCAAGCGATTCGATGGTAGTGCTTGATCGGTCGCCGGTGGATGGGTCACTCGAGGTGCGGAACTCGTCTTCTGCATTCGGGAAGGTGCCGCGAACTTTTGTGATTAATCGGGCCGGGGATCTGGTTGCCATTGGGAATCAGGCTTCTGCGACGGTTGTGATTGTGCATCGGGATCCGAAGACGGGGAATCTGGGTGAGGAGGTTGCTGTTCTACAGGTTGGCGAGCCTGGGAAGGTGGGGACTGCGGAGGGTCTCAGCAGTGTCATCTGGGATGAGTAGATTGAAAGTTATATAAAACAAGAATAGGATGGCTTGGGAGGACAGGAGACCTCCCATGCAGCTCTCTTCTATAAACAGCGCGGCAAAATGAAGTCATTGCAGTACAAGTTCACATCACATGAAGAACTTGAAAGAGCATCAAAAGCATATACCTCATGACCAAAAGATATGTCCACATAAACCAGAATGCGGAAGGAAAGAAGATGTAGACCGTTGAATGTTGAAGACCAGCTTCTTCGGGGTTTTGACAGTCGGAAACCTGCACCGAAAAAAACCTGGCCTGAAAAAAAAAGAGAACTCCTGCAACATCGTCGGGATATGATGGACCCTGCCAGATCGTAGCGAAAAGAAGAAACCCAGAACAGCCGATCGAATGATGTAGAAAAAAAATAAAATCGAAGAATGAACGTGTATCAACCATCAGTCGTAAAATGCGTAATGCCAAAAATTCGAGGCTGTCTTTTTGAAGTCGTTCACTTGATGTCGATTTGGAAGGCCTTCCATTTACCTCCCGCGGTTCGACATCGTGGACATCCGCGAGGACCAGGGTAACTTGTTGGTCCTTGTGACGGGGCATTATTTAGTAACCCATTTCCTGGAGTTCGGAATGAAGCGGGCGGACTGGAAATGAACATGCCTACGCAGTCGCGGCAGACTCCACAGATGCACTCCGTACAGGCATAGCACTCATTCAGGGCCGAGGGTCGTTTGCACTGAGCGCAAAACACCTGAACCTCTTTGTTGCGGAAAGATGCCGGAGTAGGATTGGAGAATCGGTGTGGCTGTCGCTGGGAAATAGACGGGATGAGATTCATAACTGGGCTGGAATCAGAGTTTATAGACGGCGCGACTCCCGAAACCGATGATGCAAAATTTCTACCGGATGCTGAAGACATGGAATCGAGCGATGATTCAATAGATGGAAATGGTTCCAAGTCGCTTTCACGGCTACGGTGGTTCTCGTATGGTGGCGGGGTCAATGATTTGTGCAGAGGCGAGGCGGCGTATGAATGCGGTGGAAATGGCCGATGTGAAGATATAGGAGGTAATCCTGCAGATTGGAACGCGGGTGGTAGCGATAACCGATTTTTCACACCCGAGAGAGCAGACGTCACGTTGGAAAGTAGTGGGGCAATCGTTGGAGACCGACCAGCCTGAATTTGGCGCATCAGCACCGGGGAAAAAAAGAAAGGACAGAATTGCAGTTAAACTCACATCTGAGTAGGGCTCATCATCTACTTCGGTCGCTGACGTCGCGGCTTCTATCAAATCCTCCCAGCGCTTGCCTTGCGCCCAGGCTGCAGTTTGCGGCTCTGCTGAAAGGGCTTTGCGGTCACCGAGGCTTGGTCGCCGCCCGAATTCCTTTGACTTGGGACGATCCTGCTTAGGTTTGCGAGCAGATTGAGTGATGGATGATTTGCGCGGGCGGCAAAACTTGTCTCTCCGCTGGATTGGTGGTAATGTGGATGAGCGACCGGGCGGGGAGTGATTAAGAATGGATGGAAGAAGCTCGCGCGGACGAGGCGTAAACGGTGGAAGAGATTCCTGCTTGAAATGATCACGGAGTGGGGGAAGTTCAATAGCTCCGCGCATGCGGGGATGACTCAAGTCGGTATCCGAATGGGTATCCTGGGGAAATGCGGGTCAGTGCCACCGTGGAGAGACTCAAGGGCCGAAGCCCACAACCGCCCGGAACGACAAACCATGTCTGTATCCCAATCCGAGGCCAGTCGATGGTGATGCAGTTGTGCCAGAGCAACCGCCGCAGTGGCCGCAGCTGGGTGGGGTTCATCCAGAGCTCGAGGGGTAGCCGGGGAGCCATCAGCGACATAGATGTCTCTTTCCGGTGCCACATCTGTAAGTAGCCTGTCAGTATAAGTGGCGGTAAAATAAAGACAAGAAACCAAAAAAAAGGGGGGAGGGAAAGACTGACCGTGGGGTCGCCTGGGTTGAGCGGGTTCGGGGGGGGACAGCTGCACCCGTTGCTCGAGCGGGGTGTTCACCATCATCAGGAAGCTCTCCTCGGTAGCCGGGAGCTTCGGGATGTAGTGGTTCGGATGCGCACGTCGAATGTGCTCCTGCATAGAGCGATAGCGTTTTTCCTAGAGCACCAACCGGATTAGTTCAAGTTGAACTCCAGAGTTGCACCGGGGTCCTATAGCTTTCGCAAGCAAGGTGACAAGGTGGGGCTCTAGGCAAATACTCACACCCAGGCATCGTTTGCGACAATTGGAATTATCGTTATTCTTCAAAGGACAGACCACCTCATTATTGGCATCGGTTACCGAGAACGAGCTAGTCAGTGAGCTTCGAGGAGGCATGGTGCATATGTTCATCCGAGATCCCGGGAGTTGAGATTTTAAAAAAAATGAGGGGCGAATACAGAGGTCAAGCGCAGACAGGGTTTATGTGAATAGACAAAAATGCAGTTCAACATGCTCTGGTAAAAGAGAGGAAGGGAAGAATTGGGAAAAAGTGAAAAAGAGGAAACGGAAGAGAGGGCGGCTCATACATTCAGAGAGTACTTCGAGGGCTTGTGGGAGTCACTGGGGTATTACGGGTAATTACGCAGACTTCGCCTTCTTCTATTTTTTTGGGTTTTTTTGCCGGGTACTTCTTGATTTTCCCTCTATTGGGGACGGGGATTTTTGTTATAAATATGAAATGTGTATATATATGCATGCGTATATGTTCTCTGTTTCGTTCTCAATTCTAGTTTAGATCTATTACTTCAAGTCAGGAACAGCTCCGTTCTTGCCTGTACATTGTTACTATATGAGCTCGCATACGTATCGTCCCTATCGAGTATCGATAGCCAAAAAGAGGGGGCGTGCAGCTCTGAGCTTCCCTTGTAAACCCCCCCCCCCCTCCCATTCTTGAAATGTTCCACGTAAAAAAAACCGAAATTAAATAGGAATGAAAAAAACTAAAAAGAGTGAAAAAAAAGGGAAGAACCCGTTCGGGTACAGACTGGTATTCAAATACCGAATAGCACGGCTTTTCGGAATCCCCGATGGAACACCGAGCTTCTAGCATCGCATGTTTTTACAATTTGTTTATATGACATCCTTGCTGGTTGTAATGTTTTACACTATTAATAAAATGTCTCTCAAAGATCCAATTTAATTATATTCAGCTCCGGGCCAAAGGAAGAAAAAAAAAAATTACATCGCGATAGGCGCTATCGGCGGCCCCTCCGTAGCTCTCCCCAGCTCCCTGAGCTTCATTCCAGAAGGGAGGGAAGCTCCGGGTGGCGAACTAGCGCCACGTTACAGTGTACGATTACGTGTATTATTCGATTCCACGGTTTTGCGCTCTCCGTTCCTAGAACCACCGTACTCCGTGAATGTACAGAGTAGTTCTGTATAGAGTGCCTATTCTAAGAGTGAAACGAACCGTTCGAGTATCCAAGATAGTCAAGCAACAGAAGGGAAGGTGTCCTCGAACTCTTAGTGTGTATCTGCCAAGTGCGTAACTTCCGATGCCCAATCGAAGTATAGTTCCATCACCATTCTCTACTTTATCTTGCGAATATTTCTGACGAACCTGTCTCAGCTCCGATCTCTTCCATTTCCTTTTTAACTCTAATCAAATAAAAGGCACGGGCTTTCCAGACCATCAGTTCCCAGAATACCCAAGACCCTGTAAAACCTGCTGATGAAGAGCATCCCAAAGCAGCTTGATTGGCCCCCAATCCCCACCAAGTCCCCAATTATCTGCATCCTCATTGGTGTAACCATCCCGGTTCTGGGTGGCCGTGCAGGGGATCAACGGAACAGTCTGAGATTTCAAGTTCGAGGTTTTGGTATGCTGTACGGGATCCTTCTGTCTGTAGGACGCTATGTGCGCTATTAATATCTGACACTACTAGTACATACAAAACTAGATACCGAGCTAGTACGAAATACTTTCAAAGCTGTGATCAGACCTGTACACTATCTGGAAATGTCAAACATGTCACGCTCCACTTAGTTCGACAGGGTGGAGAGAGCTTGTGAGTCGAGACTTTTTTTTTTAATTGTTCTGGCCAACATAGGATCTTATCTAAGAAATGCTCCGGACCGAGAATTCCTGTCCGGTCTAGCTTTCATGCAGTCTATAATGATCTCCACTTGCATTGTACTCCGTACATTTGGCGAGTTCGATCTCAGAACTATAATCATTGTACCTGGTAATCCCATGTCCCTTGTTCAGACCGTATGAATCCCTTTCTGACCAGCATACCAGCTGCGTCTCAGCCACGCAGGGTCCAACATCATGGGAACTTGGGGTGTGTCGCCACTAGGCGGAATAACTACGAACTATGTTTGCACATTCGCAAATCCCCTTCGTGGTCATCATCTGTAAACCCTTGCGCGGGTTGCCTTCCAAGGGATTCAACAAATTCGCTCCACCGCAGAATGCAGAAATGCAGAAGCCAGCATGGACACGAAGTGTCCAATAACTCATAGGAAAGCCTAGCTCTCCAGCTAATACCGTTAAATACCATACACATCCACGCACCGTTACATCTAGCCCCGACCGCGAAACCCCCCTCTCAAATCAATCCAGCGGAGGCGTGAGAATACCACTACCACCATAACACATCAAGTCTACATCCTCCCCGGCAAAGAACATTAAAACTGCCTCAGCAGCAGCCTGGGCATCATCATCATCCTTCAACCCAGGAACGCGCGAGCGATAAATCTGCTCCAGATACTCTGCCATCACAGCCCCCGACCAACCCGCACGACGCCCAAATTCCTGCGCAAGCTCCCCATTGACAAAAGTGTCGAACTCAAAGTGACCCTGGTACGTCAGCACCCGGCCAAGGTGATACAGACCCTGGATGGCGCACTGCGCACTACTCCCGATACTAGACCACGGTGCCGGCAGCGAGACTCCCGTCTGGCCCGCGGCAGCTTCCGCCTCGGGCGTCGGCACCACCGCGTCACCGTGGATGAGCTGGATGCGGAATGGACTCTGAGCTGTGGCGCGCGCGAGAGGTGGGAAGCGCGCGGTGAAGGAGGGCTGCAGGGTGATGGGCTGAATGCCCATTTCAAAGCCAGCGGGGGAGCGTACAACATGGAAGGTTGATGTTGGTGGGTTGTTGGGGTTTGCTGTGGTGCTGAGGAGGGCTAAGGCGATTATCTGGTGCCCAAAACAGGAACCAAAGAGCTTTATGTTTGGGTAACAGGTGTGCACAGTTTGAATGAAGGACTACATAGCGTGGATCCAGGATTGATCTTCGTAGGCTGAGGATGCCGAGCCCGTGATTAGGATTGCATCTATCGGGTTCAATGGTCCGTCGCCGTAAGGCTCGGCTGGGGACTGGGGGTTGGTTCGCAGAGTTTCCAGAGGAGGTAAAACCCCGCCGACGGCATCGAAGGCCGCTACCTGGACGGCGAGAGGTCCATCTTTGAGGGTTTCTGGGGGCTTGTTTAGGCGCTGGGCGGCTGCTTGCAGGAGGACGCGGAATTGCGAGCTGTATAGACCTCGCGCTTTGTATACTGAGAGGCAGGGAATGTCGGCGTCTAGCACGGCCACGTGAATCTTGTGTTGGACCATGGGCTTGGATATCTTCTATTCAATTGAACGCAATATGTCAAAAGAAAAAAAGCCCCCATGATAAGCGAGTCTACAAATTGAAAAATTGAAAAAATCCGACGCCAAAGGGCGTTCGCATCCCCACGCCCGATAAGGATTTGAGTAATCTGGTGGGGCGTCCCAAAGAGGAAAGCAAATCCTTGTCTGGAGGAGATCTGATGAAAGATCTATGGATAGCATCGGAAACCATATCAAAAGAGAGCAAGTCATGAAACTATCTGAAAGGAGGGCTCGAAGGAGACAGCGAAAAGGAAACGAAAAATAGGATCAAATAGTGCCTCCAGTGACCAGTAATAAGGACAGAATCAAGAAGTGCGAGAGCTAGAACCCTCTTCTAACATTTCCAGTTGACTATTAGAAGACAAGTACATTAAGATGTACCCATGGATAGAACGTGAGTTCGTAATTGCGAGAATAGAGACTTGGATGCTCAAGCATCACGGAACAGACCTCTAATTGTGCCAAGCGCCCAACACACCTTCGTGTTTTGGTGCGCCCCACTCAACGATAATTCTCACATGACAATAATTTTTCAATTTTTATTTCAACTTTCTTAGCGTTTTACACTCTACCACAATAGCCGATTAAATTAAACCTCTCGAGGTTCGAATTTCAAAGGGTATCAATGCATTCTATTAAGCCAAAAATCCTAAAATCTCCCTACTAGCGCGAGAATTTAGGGCTCTGTATTAGCTACTT